CGCAGAGCAGGTTTACGGCTGCGGGATCGCTGGTGTGCTATCTTGCTCGCCGGCAATCATCAACCCAATCATACGAGCTTGGCAAGCATCTTGGAGGATGTTTCAGGAACCGCCTCGAAGCATACTTGGTTGTACCTTTTCTTTTCGGCTCCTACAAACAGTTTTTATTGTTCGGCATCTGGCAGCAGAGGTTCTGGGTCGCCGGAACGGTCACGGTCGTGCTGATCTTGGTTGGTGGCATCGGGGCGAATTCTGTGGGGTCGAATGCCGCTTTCTTTGGCCGAGCAGGCATGCTAGATTGGCCGAACTCCACAATGTAGACTTTAAAGCGCAAAGTGTTGACATTAGCACCTCAAAGTTGCTCTTCAGCAGAACCACGGAAAGCATTCTCTTCCAAGTCCGAGTCGACCGATACTGCAACGACTGTTCATCTCCCAATCCCGAATGCACTAGAAGGCATGCTGTGCGAGAGTCAGCAAAGTCGCGATGCGTATTTATAGAGTTCGCCCATGACGGCGTGGGTCGGTTCTGGTTGTTCTTGAGGTTAAAATTCGGGCATGAAGCATGGTGAAACCGCAGATGCACTAGAGCCGACAAGTTCGGACATCTAGCTATCCTGCTTGGAAGCAAGTCGATCTAGGAAGTGGAATGCTTCTATAGGTGGAAGCCAGACTTCTCCTGCAAGTGGGCTTGCAATGGGGAGGTGGATTTTCCTGCTCAGGCATCATGTACTCTGGCCATTCAAGCATGGCTTTCCTGCAGCGGATGCTGAGTTGCACGTTCATGCGTAAAGCCTGTCTTGCGTTGGAGCTGAGGATCCACAGATCGAGAGCCCCAAGCTGATTCTCCTGAGCCCCAAGGCCCAAGCCACAAATGCCAAAGAGCTTCCGCAAGTTCAGGAAGCTGGCTCTCCTGTCGTCCATTGTCACGATGTCGGAGAAGGTGGGTCGAGGGCAGAGGGAACGTGTTTCGGATCGTTGGCTGTGCGAGGTTTATGCGGCAACTGTGTAAGGCCGTGAAGCGTAGTCCGAGTCCGAGTCTCTCCGGCGACGGAAGCCTTGCACTTGCAGCTGCCTCATCTTGCACCTCTCTTGTTTGCGTGATGTCTTGGTACATCCAAACTAGGATGTTGTGACTTGGTTTGTTCCTGCCAGAGATTGCGGAGCAGAAGGCTTGTCGTGTTAACCTTTGCCTTCGATAGTGTTGCTGATGATCTCTGCAATGCTTGTTTGTAACAGTGTGGTGGTGGTGGTGGTGGTGGTGGTGGTGGTGGTGGTGGGGACTGGCATCCAGAAAAGCTAAAAAGCGATCCAAAAAAGCAAGCACGGATCACACAAGCAACGAAGGGATCACAAAGAAAACAAACAGGGATCAATATCAACAAAAGTATCAAACTCGGAGCTGCTGTGAATTACAGCATTTAGGCGAAGATTCATTCAGACCGGCTCTTGATCATCTGAACTGCAGATCGGGATGTTCGGCTAGAGTGGTGGCCTACTGCTATCGAACCTTGTCTATTCCTGTATACTCTCAGCCGCAGTGTCATATTTATCACGGATTGTCCAGTACAGCAGCAACGAAACACACTCATAATTGCTTCGGTTAGTACGAATACTGCAGTGCTGACCCTGGCTATGATGGTGATGACGATGATGGTTGTGGTGATGATGATGCTGCCGAGGGTGATGACTGGCATCATGATCCTTACTACTGCTGCTTTTTCGATCATCGCTTTTATTTCGATTAGTGTTTGGATCGAATATTGTAACTGTTGTCCTTCGCTCTTGCTTGTACCTGTTGCTGTTGTTGTTTCTGGCACAATGGAGCCTATGCATACCGCTACGGCGAGTGCTGCTGCGACCCATGGCACCGTGTCTCTCTCTCCCCCCACCAAGAAAACGAGATACCCCAAAAGTCAACGCCCACTGTGACGCGACGCCGGTTGGGCAGCATCCTTGTTTTTTTGATACGTGCTTGATGTTGTTTTGATCCGGAAGTTGGTGCAGTAAGATTGAGTATACCCTCCAAGAGCTGTGATAGTTTGATTTTCGCTTCATCCCTACTTTGATTAGTTTTGATCCCAGGCATTTGATGTGATTTTGATATCCGCTTGATTAATTGTGGATCCCTCAGCCGTGGTGGCGGTGGCGGTGGTGGCGGTGGTGGTGGCGCTGGTCGTCGGGACATTGGTTGACACAGCGCAAAGCAGGAGGAGTAGCAAGGGCAATGGCAAGACGTACGAAGGCTTGAAAAATGCGGGCAGTGGTACTGTCAGTAGCCCGGGCGATCGCCATAGGCCAAACTGGACACCCCCCCGGGTTCCATTACGATTAGAGCGGTTTCGGGCCTTCGGGGCATCTCTGGGCCGCTCTGAAGGGGAACCTCCCAGGGCTCCCTGGCTCGCAGGAGCTGACGAGCGCGGACAGCATGCTCCTGACTCCGCCGAAGGGACCGACCGCCGGCTGCATCTTAGGTCCCTAGGAGCACTGGAGCACCGCAACGAGAGCTTGGATATCATGTGTGCTTTGCGCCCGAAACCCCAAACTTCCGTGGCCGAATTGGAGGCGGTCAAGTACGAGGTCCCCGTCAGGTGGCTTGCTTCGATGGAATCCGAAGCTTTCGTGTTGGGGTGTTTGGTCGCGACGCTCAGAAGTTCAAGGTGTTCAGAAATTTTGGACTTTCATTTGCAAGGCTGAGTGGGATGTGACTATGAAATCAAGATTCGAAGTCCGAAGACCTTCTCATGTGTGCCAGGCACGCTGATCCCCAAACCCTGAAAACCCGAAACCCCCAAAACCCCAAGCCCTAAACCCTTAAACCCTAAACTAAACCCTAAACCCTAAACCCTAAACCCCCAAACCCCCAAACCCCCAAGCCCTAAACCCTTAAACCCTAAACCCTAAACGGTCTCCCACCAGGTTCGGGCATTGACGGCTTGGAGCTCGAGGAGTGCATTGGGGCAGGATCCTTTGGTAAGGCTGGCCCAAGCAATAGCATAGTAGAGTAGCGTATAGTATAACATATAGTATAGTATAGTACAATTCACTATAGTAGATAGTATAGCAAAGTAGAGTGGGGTATGGTATAGCATAGTACAGTACAGTATAGCCAAGTACAGTATAGTACTATAAAAATGATCCAGAGAGGCTTTGGCGTTTTGGTTTGGTCTTCGGATTGGTGGTGCGATTGTAGCATGTGCCATTGCTTGTTTGTTCTGTGCTTAATAGGGAGATGCACTTGTTGATTTGAGTTTTATCGTGTTTGGGAGTCGGTGCCCCCCTCCCAAGAATCTCGTAATCATTCGTGGTCTGTGGCTCTTCGTGCAGGTCTACTCTGCGACGTATCTGGGGAAACGGGCTGCAGTGAAGATCATGAGCTGGGAGGGGGAGCTGCTTGGCTGAAGAGGTTTTTTCCCAATGTGTCGAGGATGCGGCGTCACAAGCAACACAGAAGCAAGCGGCAATCCCAGATCTTCGAGGCGGAGTCCTGGTAAATGGGGATACGAGGGGGGTACGGTTGCTCCTCCCCTCTTTGGAGATCCTCCAGGAATCCTTCAGTCCGTTGAGGGATCCGTGTCATGACTTGTGCACTGGCCCTCATGTGGTCTCAGGATGCTCAAGCGCATTGACCCCGTGAGAGAGGTGGGGACCACAGAGCGCATCCTTGCCTCCGGGGTTCTTCCAGAGAGACACGAGCGGAGGGTCAGTTCCGAGTTTCTTCATAAACCACGCATTGCTGCATCTGCTGTTCGGCGTGACGTGTGCATACCTTCCAGCACGCATGAACACCGAGGAGCTCAGGCATCAACTGTGACTCTGAATGCTATCGTGGGCTCTAGACGCCCAGTTTTGCAGCAATGTAGTTGTGAACTCCTTGCCGGCATGGGTGGGCTTGCTTCTTTCTCCGGAGTCGTAGGTTTCCGCCGGAGGTTTGAGTGAGATGTCTCCATCCAAGCAGAGGCGGGATGTGGCTCGTGCCCGGGCCCGCGCTGACTTTTGCTGCGTTGCCTCTGAGCAGAGAAAGCGGTCCGCTAGCAGCAAGCGCTTATCCAGACAGAGACGGTGTGGCTGGTTGAGATGGCGATCTCAGCAGTACGACGCGCTACCCGCTGATCGTCTATGGTTGCTGGAAAGGATTCGCATAGCTGCCATTGCAAGTGCCGGTTCTTTTGGTGCCTGCCTCAGACCTACGTCTGATGCGGCCCAGATGCGCGCCAGTGGTTTCCGACAGCGGGATATTTTTCCCTGTCCGCCTTTATCTGGCTCCAAGCTCAAGCCAGACGGATGGACGGGACAGCGCTGGCGTCTGTTCGTGTCTTACACCAATGCCATTCTGTGCGCCTTGTCTTGGTTGTATGGTGCTGCTGGACTCAAACCGTCCGGGGCTGAACACACGGCCGCTCAATGGTCTGCCGTGACACGTCTCGTCCACCGCAGCATCGATTTCTTGGCAGAAGCCTCAACAGGGTGAGTGGGAACATCTGCTACCCGAGTGGGTGCCTGGTTTTGTACGACCTGCAGGGCCTCAATACACTGATCTTTGCGCGGAGCGTGTCGACTGCCCGAACAGTGCCGCAGTTGTGGACCCGCTTCATCGCTTACCTGTTGACTTAGCAGTTGCTTTCTGACCCGGACAAGCTGTTTCCTTCTCCGCCGCCTGGTCTGGAAACCTTCGAGAGCTTCCAGTCGGGTGAGCGCAGTGAGTATGTCAAGTTGGTTGCAAAGCAAGTTCGCTGTGGCAAGCTGGGGTTGTCTGCTAGCGCGCGGGCTGGTGGCACTGTGTTGGCCGTTGGCAAAGCTGGTGGCCAGCGACAGCGGGAGGTCTGGCACGGACGTCGCGTTTCACAAGCCGCTGTTCCACCACGCTGCCCGCGATGCTTGGCTTCGCCTGCTTCGCTGATTCACATCGAATGCAGTGAAGACACACCGTGTCGTGTCAGCAAACGTGATGCCAAGTGTTGGTTCGATCAACTCCAGCTTCCTGCACGGCTCCGCTTTTGGATGGCTCGACCTCCCGTGACTTCGGCGGAGCTCGAGTGCATGGCTGGGATGGACTCTCTGGAACAGCAGAAAGCTTTGGAGCCTGGGCAAACTTGGCGCGAGGGGTGGTACTACCCAGTCTCGCGGGTGTGGCCCATGGGCTTCAGCTGGTCTTCTTTCGTCGCGCAGGAGGAGCTGCTGGGGCTGTGCAACGACGCGCAGTTGACAGAGCAGCAAGTGTTGTCCTGCGACACCGCCACGCCCGAAACCTTTGACCTCGTCTTCGGTGCGGCGACGGACGATGTGATGATATTCAGCACAGCAGGTTCTGGTGTGACTTCTGGTGCTGCCTCACGCTTGGACGCGGCCATGGAGTGTCGTGGGATTGTTCGAAATACAGCCAAGGACGTCAATGACAGCTTGGATGCAACTTGTGTCGGAGTGAACCTTGAGCAGGGCTGTTTTCTCGCCATGCCGCCGGCCCGCTGCCTAGCAGTAGCTGTGGCGGTTCTACACGTACTGAGCACCCAGGCAGTGTCACCGAAGCAGTTGCACCAACTGCTCGGAGTGATGCAGTGGTTCGATCTGTTGAGAAGGCCCAAGCTGTCCGTCTACAGTAGCGTGTATGATTTCGTTCGGCATCCCAAAGATACTTCGGTGCGACGTGTTCCCTCTCGCGTTTGCGCGGAGATGGCTGCCAGCTTCCTGCTTGGTGTGTACTGGCTTACAGACTTGACGAGGCCGTTCCTGCCCCTGCTCTCGGCGACCGATGCCAGCACTGAGTTTGGTCTGGGGGCATCTGTGGCCAGAGTTACTTCCGCAGAGGCCCGTCGTATCGCACGGTACGCGGAAAAGCAGGGAGACTTTGTGGTTCTGGACGGTGGAACCCTACATGGCGCAGCCGCGAGGCGCCTCGGCAAGGCGCACAAGCTGCAAATTTCCATGCGGGATTTCGTTGACGTGTTCAGCGTCCGTGCAAAACACAAAGCACACATCAATGTTCTCGAAGGCGAAGCTTTTGTCCTGTGGCTGCGGTGGCTGCTCAGAACGAGACGACATCATGCTACAAGAGTCGTGGTGCTTGTGGATTCTGCAGTGTGGGTCGGGGCTGCCTCAAAAGGCCGGTCGTCTACACAGCTGAACCGTGTGCTGCGGCGTGCTGCTGCCCTGGAGATGATGGGGGATTTACACGTACACCTGGTGCTGGTTCCCTCTGGTGAAAATCCTTCCGATTCTCCTTCACGCGGCCTGCGCCGACGCAAAAGCAAAGCGGCAACTTGATGTCATCTCAGTCTTCAGCATGGTGTTTTGGTGACGCAGGCCCAGCTCTCCAGAGCTTGACGTGCAGCTTGCTTTACCCCCATGCCGCTACGAAGTTGAATTCGTTTCCTTTTCTATTTTCCCGTGTATAGGGAGCTGACGCACACTCGGCAGAAGGTACCGGGCACTTTCGCGGCAAGGTTGTGCAAACTTTGCTCCGCCAAACCGCTAGCAGAGGTTTGGTGCTGTGGCTTCTGTTTCGGGTCCCCGCAGGCTGCTCTACCTGCGTAGACATGGCAACATGTGGCAATGTGCTCACCGCAGTGGCTTGGATGAGTCCATGACGGAGTCCACGTTGTTTGGTCACATTGCTTCAAAATTTGCGGCCGCGGCCGCCGCGCGCCCGCAGCCAGTGCCGGGAGATTGGGAAGTTATCTGCTGGCGCATATATCTCTGCAAACGCAGATGTGTGTGCATGGAGTGGATTGCAAGTTCTCTAACTCTCGGCAGCTCCATCGGCGGAAAACCTGAGTACAGAGGCTGGGACGTTTCAGAGGTCGGAGTGAGAAGCTACGTGCAGCAATAACCACGCATTGCTGCATCTGCTGTTCGGCGTGACGTGTGCATACCTTCCAGCACGCATGAACACCGAGGAGCTCAGGCATCAACTGTGACTCTGAATGCCATCGTGGGCTCTAGACGCCCAGTTTTGCAGCAATGTAGTTGTGACCCTCCTCTCCCGCCCTTGAAGTGACTTGGGAAGTTATCTGCTGGCGCATATATCTCTGCAAACGCAGATGTGTGTGCATGGAGTGGATTGCAAGTTCTCTAACTCTCGGCAGCTCCATCGGCGGAAAACCTGAGTACAGAGGCTTGGACGCTTCAGAGGTCGGAGTGAGAAGCTACGTGCAGCAATGTGGGAGTTTCCGAAAATACGGGGTCCCTTATTGGGGGTCCTCATAATAAGGATCCTACTGTTTGTGGTACTCTATTATTAGGGTCCCCTATTTTCGGAAACTCTCATTCTATGGGAGATTTGATCGTCATTTGCCTCTTCGTGTAACGGACGACTAAGATGTTGCATCGCTCTTCTCGGATTGCGCAAAGAAAGCTGCCCCAACGGGGTGCAGCCCGAACACGGCTTTCTGTTGAGCGGGCTTGAGGGTTGGATTTTTGAAGGTTTAGGTGCTTGGTTTGCAGCTGCATCGAAATTAGCAGGCGAAGCTATGTCTGCGAATGGTTCACCCGAACCTGGTTCAGGTTCCTTGCCGGCATGAGCAGGGTTGCCGCTTTTTCCTCATGTGTCAAGCAGCATGGCCCCGGGCCCACTCGCGTGCAACACCCGCGCCCGTGCAAAATTGCAGATTCTATTCCTGCCCTGGGACGTCTTCATTGAAAAGCTTGTCGTGACATGGTCCCTGCGTCGTGCTTGCCACCAAACCGAGCAGCATAGACATACTCAGGCCTTCGTGTACGTAGTCATCTGCGATAATCGCACAATGAATGTTCAGTCCAGCAATCAAGAGCCGTCATCAGTTTGTAAATCTATGTGATATGGCAACCTTCGATTACCACGGCAACCATATGATTCAATATGATCAATATCAGCAGAGCCAGCAGTGGTACTGCATCTAAAGCTTGAGCTCCGAACTAACGGAACGGCCTAGGCTTTCAACTTCATTCAGCGCGATTCCTCATCCGAGGCCTGTGCTTATACGGACTCAGGAAGGGTCGAGTCTGTGGACTGTTAGAAGGTGCTTGCTGCCGAGAGCGATTATAACCTTCAAACCTGTGTCGAATACTTCCCAATCGCAACCAATTAACCGTAACCGTGGAAGACATCTTTTTAATTCTACCACAAGAGCTCATTGAGTGAATTTGACCTCCTTCGCATCAGCAATCGGACTCTGCAGAAGTGTCGGTGAGCGAGGTCGGAGGGCGAGGTCTTGCGGACTCAAACGGTTTCGAACAGCAGCAGCCCGTGTGTACGACCCCTCTGCACTTTCGGCTTCTCTCGTGAGCGCTGAGGGCACGAAGGAATTTATGAAAGCCTTGGAAGCCTATGTAGATCGTTCATGACGCGGAAGTTCCTGGCGAGGAATAAGTGGCTCGCTTTCATTGAAGCTTCCCCTCATGCCGACTTCGCCGTCCCCGTCTGGGGTCATGTTTCGTACGAATGTGCAGGTGGGCGATCGGTGCGTCATGAAGGAGATAAACTCGGCCCTGTAAATCACAAGCAATGGTTGGCCTGCTTCCGGGTCTTCACTTGTCCGAACGGACCAGATCATGGAAGCGGCGGCCGCCGACCCGCAACCTTTGCCAGAAGCAAACATAGTCGTAACCCCCCACAGTTTTCTTGGCCTAATGACAGCCTGGGCGAAGCCGTAACAGCCAGGGCACACAAACGGAGCTTCGTCTCGTGGTGTTTGG